TGAGAAGGGGGGGGAATAGTTTGGTGGGAGGGGGTGCACATCCACCCCCCCCAAGAGACTGGCCTCCTCTAGCTCCACCTGGGCCCCCTACACTCCTACCAATCCACCACTTTATCCTTCCCTCACTGTGTGCAGCACATAAGGGAGCAGGGCAGATACCAAAAGAAAAATACCCTCTCAAGATTCAAACACAGATCCCGGAATAGAGACAAAAATGGCACAATGTCTACAGCTTGCTTTAAAATATTCCAGGGGGGAAACAGTGAGAGCAGAGGGGAGGTGACACATGAACGGCAAAATACCAAGAGTGTGGAAGCTGGGTAGGCGCTTGAGTTCATTAAATTATTCTTTCTACTTTGTCTATGTTTTAAAATGTCCATAATCAAGGTAATAAATAAACAAATTCATTTTTTAAATGCCAAAATCCCCTCTAAGGTAAGTGGCTTTCCCAGGCTCCCCACATCAGCAAAGGGTAGTGAGGATCAGACTCTTACGTTTTCTTCCCAAAAGCTTCCAGCCCTGCGTGCCCGGGACAGCGTCCTGCCACTTCCCAGGCCGCGAAGGCAAGGGCCAGGGAAAGGACAGCGCCAGAGGCATTACTGGGGCTGTCAAACACCTCGCCTTCATGGAATCCTAGCAGCCTTTACGCTTTTTATTTCAGTGAGTACCAAAGGTTACATATTAAACCTGGAAAGGCTGCTGAGCGACTCCCATCAGCTCACCTGCCGGAGGTCTCCGGTGGAGACACTGAGGATGAGGGTTGGGACGATCATGAAGCAGGCGTTGTAAAAGAGCACTCCGTATTTCCCTAGCTCCTGCGAAAACAAGGCAAACCACGTGATTTTAGAAACCCGAAGCATCACCTTCCCATTTACACAACTGTATTTATGCAGAGTTGGAATATGCATGCTGACCAACTCAGTAGTGGAATATTTTCAGCAAATTTCTGACATACAATGCTTCCCCTCAAGTATACTGTAATCTCAGAACAAACATTTGTTTTACACAAAAATGACAGATAAAAATGGGTGGAGACTGATGGCCCCGAGGTTCCACCCTTCTCTGGCACTCTTTTTTTTAAGCACGCTATTCAAAATAGGAACTCTGGAACAAAATAAAGAACATTTAAAATGTTAATATAAACAGGACTCCTTAAAAACATCTGTTCTTTCCATTAAAGAACCGCAGGGTTAAAACACCAGGTATCTCATTTCCAATCTCCCATAAATTTACTTTCCACCCCTTCTCACTGCTTTCCATAAAGGGTGACATATTATGACTCTCAAAAGGTAACAAACCTGTTTTTGTAAAACTGTCACCATTAAAAAACAAATGGCTGTGCAGAAAAAAACAAACAGTACCGTTATAAAACAGCTCATAGTAATAAGCCTGTCCATCAGGGCAAACCCCTCACTCGACACAAAGAAGGTGGAACAAAGAAACGTATGTCTGGCTCATTCCCAGGCTCCGGGGACAGCTGGGCTGGGTGAGGGCTGGGGGCCTCCACACAGAGGCAGCCACTCAGGAGAAAAGCTCATCTGCCACCAGCCCCGCAGGACTGAGGGAGGCGGTTCCTGTTGGACAGGACCTTATAAATTATCCACTCCGATCATCTCATTCCACAGATGAGGGAACTGAGGCTTGACGAGGTTATGGGGCAAAGTCGCAGTGACCACCAGTGAGCAGCAAGACTTAACTGTAACCCTCACTTCCAGGCTCTCACGCAGGAGCTGCTCTCAGACGTCTCCCTGGTCACTGATGATGGTAAAAAAAATTCTTTTAATTTTAATTTGCCTTTCAAAATAATCCCGTTTATATATTCTGACTTTGCTTCAAAAATAGTGGCATCTTTTTCTGTCCTAATTTTCAACCAAAACTGCAGAACAAGGGGTAACAAAAAACTATATGGACAAGATCACTGAAAAGAAATCAGTGGCATCATGTAAATTACAGTACATGCCAACTTTAGAAATTCATTTCCTTTTTTCATGTAAATTCAGGGGCCAGGTGACAAAGCCCAAGAGACACAGGAGTGAAGATACGGTACCTGTGGGTCCATTTTCTGTTTGGTATAAACTCCATTGGCTGCTGTGAAGATGTCGTTCAGGAATACAAAAATATAGCCTTCCAGGTTAAAGGCCAGGTCAGCCCTGGGAGGGAGAGCACAGAGCAGGAGGATCATTCAGAAGCTCCCAACCTGGCCTCAAAGTCTGCCTGTCGCATCCTTCCCTGATCAAATCCGTCCCGATTGCTTAACTCCTCTGCTTTGCCTCCAGACAGAAACAAAACCAGGCCATCAGGTGTCTTCAACTCAGTCATGAATGGCTTAAAACCAGGGGCCATTAGTCACCTTCCTGCAACTGCAAAGCCCTTTCTTTTGCTAAGTGATGAATCGGCATAATTGCTGAGCTCCGGCTTTTCTAAGGCGAATGACTTGTCCAACACACCCAGTGGCAGTTGCTTATTGTAGTAAACAGGGCCATCCCCAGGGTACAACCCTGTAGGGACAGCTGGGCAGTGACTGGGGCAAGAAGGGTCATTTGAGGAACTGACACCTCCATCTGGTGCCCAAACAGTCAAATCTTCCTCCAGCACCACCAATACCCTGTCCATCAAAAAGGCAGAGCCGGGATCCATTCCTTCTCCGCAACTCCTCTAAGGCCCCCCTCTTCCCATTCTTTCGAAACATCTTCTCTTCACTTTCCACTTTAAATAAATACTACTAGTATGAAAATGTTTGGGGGGATGTGGCGTAGAGAGGAGACAGAACAGCAGCTCTACCATGGAGTCATTTGTCCACCGGCACCTGACCTGGCAGACACTATCAGACCCATGTCATAGTTCATAAATATACATTGTCAAGGAGGTGTGCTCTGCCCTCTTAGGTTCAGTGACTGGGGGCCTATGAATTTAACTGACAAAAAACAGGTAAACAGCACAAAAGGGTATACAAATTACAGTTAATATTTTATGCATACAGATCACAGAGAAGTGAAACTCAATGGAGCCGTTAAGACTCTGGGGTTTCTATACTATTTTAACAAAGAAGGTTGAGGTGTTGAGGAACAAATAAATTATGGGAAAGGGACTGGGAAATATACGGGGNAAGGTTGACGTGTTGAGGAACAAATAAATTATGGGAAAGGGACTGGGAAATATACGGGGAAGCTAGTGGAAGATCAGGGTTATTTCAGTGAGGTCTGCTTATGCTGACTCCCCACCTTTGGGGACAAGAATTGCTTTCCTGTTCCTGGTAGAGGAGAGGGGCACTTTCACAAAGGGGAACGGGTGGTCTGCCTTTAGGCAAAAAGGGGAGGCAGAGAATTCCCACATCTGTTGACTCTCAACTGCCTCCGGCTCAAAATAATGCTTATACCAAAGCTTATTTTGGAGCCATGTATCCTGATCCCCTTCAATAAATAAGATGACATCTAACCAAAGAGAAGGGAGTAGAGTGAGGCAAAAACTGCATCCAGATCTGAACACAAATTAAACCAGATTTTGCTTGACGCTTCCACTGGCATTATTATCTACAAATATATTTGTGAGAATGTAAATTAATTTTAGACCATCATAAATCAGAATTCTCTGGCTCACTCACGCAATCTCTCAAAACAGGGGTTCAAACCTCCTGCCTACGCACACTTGGCTCAGTGTTTAAACTCTAAGTCGGCAGGGCTGAATGAGCAAAAAGCCAGGCCTCTCAGGGAAATGGGCAGGATGTGTTGCTCACTTCCTCCAAGAACCTGCCGGGAATTCCCGGAGTTCTCAGGCCTCTTGGGGGCTGGGGCGTTGGCTGGTCATTCCTTTAAGCCAGTAGTAAAAGCACAGAAGTTTGAGAAGAATTTACTTGTTTAAAAATGAGCAGATTCACGGTTAACCCTTGTGATTGTCACTTAGGGCTGTTCACAGTCATTGTATTTCAACTTTTTCTGGACATGTGACTTGCTTTGGCAAATAAATGTCAGAGGAATGAACAGGTCACTTCGGGGCAAAGCGTGCAGAGTCAGTGCACAGTTCTCCACATGCACTCTCCCAGTCTGGATGAGGCAGGGGTCCCACCAACCTGGATCCCTGAGCACCTACACTGAGCAGAGCACACACACAGCACTAGCTGGTGCTGGTTTGCACGCATGGTGCGAGCAGAATATATTAGTATGTTAAACCACCAAGATGAGATGTGGGGGCTGTTTGTTACAGCAGCATAAATTAGCTGATCGAACTGAGTCCGTTCCACGATTACTTGCCTTTGGATAAGTTAATTTCAGTGAAAGGAGAGAAGGGTGGGGTCTCAGCTGGCCTACAGCTCAGAACTGTGTCTGTCACAGTTATCCATTCTGTGGGCGCTGAGAAAGGGGGAAATCAAGAATCGCTATTCCAAGCTGGCTCTCAGATGCTTTGGGAAACACCAGTTGCCCTTCCAGCTCATTCGAGTACCACATATGTTAAATATGAGCTGAATTTCCAGTAAGTGGTTCGGGAATGTGCTTCCTCACACACAGCACCTGAAGTGCCATTCCTCACCAAAGAATTACAGATGCTTTTATAAACCAGTTTTTATAAAAGTCTTCAGCTGGCTCTAAGTCAGCGGTTTTCAAACTGAGCTCTAAGAAACCTAGAAGAGGGAGGCTGCCCAGGGGAGACCCCCAGAGTGCGATGGGCGGAGTGCCTCCTCCCTGTTTTAGCTACTTGACTCAGAGGATGTTGTTTGAGCAAAAGTCTTCACAGCTCAAGCAGGCTCTCAGTGCGGCTGCCTCCTGTCTGCGCCGGCACCCAAGGCACCCAAGGCCCGAAAGAGCGCTGAGCCAGAGGCCAGCTTCCCGGGCGCAGCTCAGCCTCAGCTGGGGCTGGGGAAGAAGGCGACACCGAGGAAAACACAACTAATACACCTTGGTCTAGGCAGGGGACTCAATACACCTATAATAATAATAAAACTGTTATTACTGTCTGCCACCATTTGGTGTACTATATTTTTCAGTGTATTTTTGGGGTTATCATCTGTCCACCAACTATAACGGAAGCTCCACGGATCCTTGTCTACTTTCTTAACTGCTGACTCCCCAGCACCTAGGAGGATGCCTGGCACACAATGAACACTCGATACATGTTTGTGGAACTTGGCCACGCACTAGTGTAAACCCTAGTGTATTCTCATTTACTTCTCACAAGGACCTATTAGATGGATGCTATCCTCATCTCTGCTTTACAGTTAGAAAAACCAGGGCACAGGGAGGCTGAACCGCTTGTCTGGTTATACAGCTAGCGAGGGAGTGGCTAGGGTAAGAGCCCAGGCGTCCTGGCACCCTTATTTAATTTGCAAGTAATGATCCAGAAGCCTTGTTTCTAAATAAGTTAAGCAAACTAGTTTAACTGAAATTCCTCCCATCTTTTCTTTCTTCCCTTCATTCAAGTAGGTCTTTCTCTTCTATGATCATCTTTATAGATGAAGAAACTGAGGCACAGAGAGACTGAGGAACAGCTGACGGGGGCAGGGCTGTTTTAAACCCTGGGGATGTAACTGCGTGGACGCTGTCACCACCATGCTATAAAGGTGGAGTCTGGCCCTGGCTGGTGTGGCTCAGTTGGCTGAGCATCACGCCCATGCACTGAAAGGCTGCCAGTTTGATTCCTGCTTAGGGCACATGCCCAGGGTGCGGGCTCAATCCCCAGTCCGGGTACATGCGGGAGGCAGCCAATCAATGTTTCTCACACCGATGTTTCTTTCTCTCTCTCTCCCTCTTCCTTCCTCTCTCTGAAATCAATAAAAATATATTTTTAAAAAGATGGAGCCTGCGTGCCTGCCTTCAAATGCCAACTTGGAGTTCTCCTTCCTGGTCTTGCACATCAGTGAGCAAGGCCGCAGTCATGCCCCAAACATACCACATTTCCTGAGAGCGTTCCACCCTCGGAAATGCTGACTTCTGAGGCATCACAGGACCCAAGGGCTTTACAGATAAATCTGTTATTCTTCTTGATCAAGTGCCTCAGAAATTTTCAAGTGAAACTGTCATATTGAAGACAAATATTCCATAATAAAAGTAAACAGTTCACTCCTTTTATGAAGAAACACTGTGTTAGTATCTTACGACGCTCTCTATATATTCTCAGGAATGTCCTGGCCAACACGGAACCCGGTGTGGCTTTCACAGGAACACACAGGGCTTCCCCTGGCATCGAGGGATTTGTCTCTCGGCTACTCAAGGCTACAGCGGCCAGATGGAAAGTGAAAATGAGAGCGGCGCCAGGCCTATTGTCAAAGACACAAAGACGGCTTTGAGCAGAAGCTGTCCACAGTCTTACCCAGCTGCTACGAAAGCGCCCAGGACGATGGCAAAGACGCTGATGACGGTGTTCAACGGATACTGTTTCCTGGAATAAACAGATGGGCAGACGGGCAGATTGGCAGACAGACCAAGGAAAGAAGCAGGAGAGTAAATATATATTTTTAAAACAAACTGAAAATAGATGTTAACAGTTGTATAGCTAAAATCTAATGAACACTGCTTTACCTAGAGAAAGCATTAAAAGTATCTTTAAGTAGATCAATTAAGTCGAACCAAATTTACTGCATTTCTGAAGCAACTGTCTTAATCTAATTATAAACATATTTCTCTGTTCTCACTAGAGGGACGCTGAGACAAAATGCAGAGCCGCTCCTGCTGGTAGGTCTAGTTGGTATGTACTTTTATCAAGCATCCAAAGATCAAGACAAAATTCAACAGCAGAACTTAAAGCATTGGGCCATCACCCAAATTTCGTTGCTAAATAATCTTCACAGTAAATCAGGAATGACTTTTTTGGATGCCAACCTGAGTATCCTCATGAGAAATTGCTAAACCAACATTATTAAAATCAACTTATTCTGATCACATCATAATCACTGCATCAGAATGGATTCCCCAGATCGTCTGCCTTCCTGTCCTATATGTACATGTGGACAATTATTCCTCTGTATTCCAAAATCAGTGTATATTCCATCTGGCTCGGGAAACAGATTTACATCTGTTTGAGGGCTGTTATTTTTTTATAAATTTCTACACAAACATGTATTATTTGTCTAATGTAAAATTACAATTAAAAAAATCACTCATTGCCCGGCCGGGTGTGACTCAGCGGTTGAGTGTCGACCTAGGATCCAGGCGATCAGGGTTCGATTCCCAGTCAGGGCACATGCCCGGGTTGCGGGCTACAGCCAATCAATGGTTCTCTCATCATTGATGTTTCTGTCTCTCTCTCTCCCTCTCCTTTCCTCTGAGATCAATAAAGATATATTTAAAAAAAAAAAAAAAATCACTCATGCCCTGGCCAGTGGTGTTCAGTGGTTAGAGGATCATCCTGTGCACTGAAGGGTCTCAGGTTTGATTCCCTGTCAGGGCACATACCTAGGTTGTGGGCCCGACACCCAGCTGGAACATGCATGGGAGGCAGCCAATCAATCGATGTTTCTCTCTCACATCAATGTTTCTCTCTCTCTCTCTCTCTCTCTCTCATCGCTAAAAACATATCCTTGGCTTGGCTGGTTTGGCTCAGTGGTTAGAGCGTCAGCCCAAGGACTGAAGGGTCCGGGTTTGATCCTGGCCAAGGGCATGTGCCTCTGCTGAAGGCTCGATCCCCAGCCGAGTCAGGGGGTGTGCGGGAGGCAACCACTCAATGTGTTGCACTCACATTGATGTTTCTCTCTCTCTCTCTCTTCCACTCTCTCTGAAAAGCAGTGGAACAAATGTCCTCAGGTGAGGAGTAAAAAAAACAACAAACCAACACTCATTAAGTTTTAGGGAATCGTGGAATCAGGAGGCTGCTTTTAAATTATACTATTTGTTCCCAAGTTATGGGTACTAGCAATTCAAGTCAGCTGTTTGGCAAGAGGACTAGATGCTGAGAATTTGTTAGGCAGAAATACTGCAGGGAAGGGGAGCGGAGGAAAAACACAAATCACCCAAGTATGATGGTTTCCAGGAGTAAAGTAAGTGGGATCGTGAATTTCCTGAGCACGGTGAACATCGGCAAGCTGTCAGGAAAAAACGCAAGGAGGATAACATCAGACATCAAAAGAAAATGTTTAACATGTTTTACATTTCTAATTAAGGCACTAATTTTCCAAATTAAATATGAGGGGTTAGCTTAATTCTCACCTATACTACTAACAAATCACATTAAATAGTTTAAAAAATGGAGATGAAGTAATTTCATGCCACTTGCACTTATTAGCTATTTAAAACATCACAATATCCAACTACTACAAAACTGTGCTAAAACTAATACACAATGTGAACCAATGCACCCTTTGGCAAAGCAAGCTGGGACTACGTATCAAGAGTCATTAAGTGGGCCCTGGCCAGGTGGCTTGGTTGGTTGGAGGGGCATCCCTTAGGCCAAAAGGTTGTGGGTTCAATTCCCGATCAGGGCACATACCTAGGCTTTGAGTTCCATCCCCAGTTGGGGTGTGTATGAGAGGCAACCAACTGATATTTCTCTTTCTCTGTCTCTCTCTCCCCCCCTTCCTCACTCTCAGGGGAGGATTAAAAAAATACTAATAAAAGAAAAGCAGGTAAGGTACACTTAATGATCAAAAGTTAAGTGTTTTCCCCCTAAGGTCAAGAATAAGACCAGGAGGTTCTCTCTCACCACTAAAACTATTCACCATTATACCTGAGGTTCTAGACAAGGCAGTTAGGCGGGGAGAGGGGAGAGGGGAGAGGGGAGAGAGGACAGAAAAGGCATACAGTTTGGAAGAAAAGGCATACAATTTGGAAAGGAAAAAATAAAGTTATCTTTATTTGCAGGTGATATATAGGGTGTCCCAAAAAACTGTATACACCACTTCGAATAATTATAAAGGCAGTGTTTGTTAAAATACATTGCATTTTCATTTAACAGCTATCAACTGTCAGAGTGTATATACATTGTTTTGGGATACCCTGTATATAGAAAAGCCTAAAGAACTCATTTAAAAATTATTACAACTAATGAGCTAAGCAAGTATGCAGGAAACAAAATGAATATACAAAAATTTATTGTATTTATAGTCACTCACTATAAGCAATCCAAAAGGAAATTAAAACAATTCCAGTTATTATAGCATCAAAAAGAACAAAATTCTTAGGAATAAATTTAACAATAGAAGTGTAAGGCTTATACATTAAAAACTACAAAACAGCCCTGGCCAGGGTGGCTCAGTTGGTTGGAGTGTGGTCTCGTGCACCAAAAGGCTGTGGGCTCAGTTCCCGGTCAGGGCACATGCCCTGGTTGCAGGTTCCATCCCCGGGCGGGGTGCATACCGGAGGCAACAGATCAATGTTTCTCCCGCTCTCCCTTACTCTCTCTCTAAAAAATCAATAAAAACATATCCTTGGGTGAAGATTCAAAAAAAGAAGAAAGAAAAACTCTACAAAATAACTGCTGAAAGATTAAAGATGATTAAATGAAAAGACACCCCATGTTTATGGATCAGAAGGCTTATTACTGTCGCTAAAATGGAAAACTTCCCAAAATGGATCTGTAATTCAACACCAGCCCTATCAAAATCTCAGCTGGCTCCTCCCCACCCAGATATTGACAAGCTGACTCTAAAATTAATAAGGAAATGCAAGAAAACCAGAAAGCCAAAACAATATTGAAAAAAGAACAGCCCTGGCCAGTCTGGCTCAGTGGTTAGAGCGTAGGCCCGAGGACTGAAGGGTCCCAGGTTTGAGTCCAGCCAAGGGCACGTACCTCGGTTGCAGGCACGATCCCGGGGCCCGCATCCGCGTGCAGGCAGAAGGCAACCAGTCAATGTCTCTCTCACATCCACATCGGTGCTTTGCTCTCTCTCCCTCCCCTCCCCT